CATCGAACTTGCGTCAATTAGCTCAATCCCGCTTTTCATGGCATTGCTCTCCTTTCTCTCAGCATATGCTAACTAGGGTCAGTCCCCGAATGTCCAACGAAAATCTCCTCCTGAGGCTCCTATTGTTGAGTTCTCGGATCCGGCGGAGATATCCATGGGGCTCCCGTTATTCAGACCGGAGCTCGAACTCGCTCATCGAAGTTTCTGGTGCTCGTCACGACGGCCGATTCGCTCACTGAAACGGTGAGCAGCTCAAAAGCAACAGCTGTGCGCTAGCCGCAGGCGAGACGGCTGTCGCTCCCAATATCAAATGCACAACACGCTGACTCTGGCAGCTCAGAGGGATACGCTCCCGAGGCAGACTGCGGTAGAATCTGATGTCCGAGATCATACGTTTTGTCGCTCATTGTTTCGGCTTATGCGCGTCGTAAATTTCTGGACATCGGACAACTCCCCGTTTTGGCGGGTCCAGTTCTTTATAACAACTCCGATGTCATCTTGGGAGGAACCGGCCGTCCGGAAGCCATCGATTCATCGACCTTGTGTGCGAGAAAGCTCCTAGCGTCAATTTATTCATGGATCTTTATCTAGCATCGAGCCGCTGGAATGAAGGCCCGATCCGTACCATTCCGAAGGAGCTTCTTCGCTGTGCTGTAGACGATGCCTTATTTGGTGGACACGCCTGCATTCAATGAATGTGTGACAATCCGTGACTGCGAGCGACAAATTAGGATTTGTTCGACATCACATGGATTGCGGACAGCAGCAGCAGCCACAATGGTGGTTTCGGTTGTGTCGATTCTAAGAAGTTCTGCAACCCAGCCGAGTTTCATTCGAATTGAATCCGGAGCTTTCTGGACGAACAGATCGGACCGAACGTCAGTTCTCAGTTTAGAACTTGACGTCGCGATGGCCCGGTGTCCGCGTGACCCCGGACGGAATATAATAGCGCTTCTCCTCCACACACCTTCAAAGCCCCGTTAGTAAGCGGTATCCGTCCATCGTTCATCCCATTCTCTCATGAGCCCAGATTGAGATGACATTGCTGCTGAGAAGCATTGTGCTTCGAATGAATCTCTCTGCTCGTCTTCAGGTAGTACGCGCGAAGGCCAACTCCAAGTTCAAGATCGCGCAGACCGAGTCGCGACCACCGTTATCGGAGGGCGTTCGGCTAACCACGAGTGTTCCATGATCTCGCTGGCTATTTTCATGCGGTATCTGATACCTAGATCGAGAGGTGTGAGGTACAACTGGCCGTCTCTGCCGAGCCCGAGTCGATTCCACGCTGAGGGTCCGTTCAGGAATGATGGACGACTCAACGGGTCCACCGACGAGCGAAACGACTCCGACGGCCGAAATGACGACACCGTTTTGTTGGGAGAATGGCTTGCGGAGCAGGATAGTGCTTCATTTTGTGGGAATGCGGTAACGACGGCTTGTGACGCGTGAAACATATTCTATTCTGCACCTTTTTAGAAAAAACAGGTGGATTACGCGTTAGCCACCGCGTGCTTGGATGCTCTCTTCGGGAATTACGTCAACCTGAATTTGTGTAATCAGTGGGCTTGAACGCGCTGCCGGGATTCGTCGGCTCGTCTCCGACGGAGAATTTCAGCGGTGCATCATTGGCTCGATGATTCGGTTAGGCAAGTGAGGATTAATGCTCTCCGTATCCGGGACCGTGGACTCGAGATTTTGGATTCTCAAATCTCTCTGTGAGAGGACTCCGATCCCTCATGATATGATAAAGCTAATCCGTCTCGGTGTAGGGCGGTTCCGCAGTCTAATCAGTGAGCCGGTTGGGCAGCCCATGCTGAGTGAGTGCATTAAATTTATTAGAACCCGCAAAGCACATTCATCAATGACGGAACATGGCCTCGTGAGCGACGACTATGTACGACGACTTGACCAACATGTTGTTAAGAACCGCGTTGACATTTCACTCAGTTTCCGGCCCGGCCCAAACTCGTTAAAGCAGCTACCGGTAGACGAAACCGAGCGTTTCCTCGTGGGCTCCCCTGACCGGCCTGGCGACTTCATCGCCTGTTTTGCCCCTGCTCTTCTTGGCTCTTGCCATCAGTCGATCCGGGACAACAGATGGGAAGCACCAGAGAAACGTACTCGTCAACTACATCCCCTTCTCGACCAATCCTGCCGCAGAACATTTTGTTTTGGTGTTCGATGTGACGGCACGCTCAACTCGAGGCGCTGTGCTGATTCGCCGCAATGGCCACCTGAGGGAGCGGCGAACATTTATACGGTGCATAAGAATGATTGCATCTCATTCGCAAAGATATAATCGGCGACAAGTCATTCATCGCTCGGATTCGCTCGCTCAGCGAGCGCGTCTCCTCGGGATTCACTCTTAGTTAGGCAGTCAGTCTAAGACTCACACCCAAGCTAGCCCGGTTCAGCTCTGATTCGGATTTCCTTCGCATCCGACGGCGGCCAGACGGCACGGAAATCCCCAGACGCGTTCCCACGTGCGCTGGCTCCGGTTCCGACATGTCGTCTCCCCTCCGACCGCGTCTACAATGTCGCAGCCATCATGAATATGGCTTCGGGATCCCTGGTCACTACGGGACCCTTCAATGTTTTCGGTGGGATTCGGAAAGGGTGGCTTGTCCCTCTCGAGAGCCTTTGGGTGTGGAGCCTTTGGGCTGGCCTGAGTCCCGTTTTCTCTGACAGCTTCCGGAGACGTCTATGACGGTTCGGGACACGACTGGGAACGTAGTTCGAGGGTGGTGAACGAAAACTGCGCCACGGGATGCAATTACGTGTCTCCGGAAGAACCTCAAGAGCTGGACGGAGGGAAGAGCCCACCACTCGATGGTTTCTGTTTGATTCAGTCTGATGTAATTTCAAGCCCATTCACTATGTAGTCGTCAATAGGTATGAACAGTCCAGTTTTTCCGTCATTTGAAACAGTTGAATGACTTCGCACGTCGGAAAGCGACTACGCTTCGGCTTTCGCTCATACCTGAGGAACGGTTCGCAATCAACGCCCACGAAATGCTCGGAGTGATTCGGAGGAGACGAACGAAAATTGTTTCAACTGAGGTGGAAGAGCAGCTCGTAGTGCGGGTTTCGGGAACCGTCCCCAGATTGTGAAACGGCGCTCCCGACGCTGCCCAGCCGATAGAAGTTCCCGATGGATTGATTGTTCCTTCGAGAGGATTTCGTCGGATGCGACTTATACCCATCGGGAGTTTTTTGATGGAGGAAAATAAGCGGAAGAGCTAACCAAGGAAATCTGAGAATTCATTGAGCGAATCAGAGCTCTCAAGGGTAACAGGCCTTACAAGTCGCTTGTCGGTGGTCAGCGGAGCGTCTTTGTGAACATCGACTAGTGAACACCTTTGCTCGAATTAGGAGAGAACGCGTTGAATGAATGACTGATCTTCTTCGCAAGAGCGTGCCGCGTCTGGCAGCTTGACCTTTAGCGGACTCCCGAACGACGGCCGGATATCGCTAGCAAATCCATGCCGAATCTTTGCTTCATTAAAGCATCTCCCGGGGATTCTTCCAACATCAGAAACTTCAATGATTTGGGAAAATTCCGAGCTGCCCATGAAAAGCGTGCTTGTGGGCTCATTCGTTCCTGATAACCGAGTTAGCCGACCGATCAGCCAATGATCGAGCTTTCAGCCGTGCGTGACTTTCTGACGATTGAATCCCATACGAAGGTGTCAACAAACTTGCGATCAGATCGCTTCTGTCCGGAGATAAGCGCCGGTATCGAGTTCTAGCGCGCTCGCCATCATGGGTGGATTCTGAGGCATTCACGCCTCGCTGACCCACGGACATCTCTGTCCTTAGCCAGGAGCTAGGTAGCTATTCAACAGCGTTGAGGCTCCTAAACGTAGGTCCACTAGATTTTCTGCTGAATCTATGCAACTACGGGAGCTGTTGCGTGGTACGCTGCGGCAGCTTCTACAATTGGTTCTTGCTAACTAGCTAAACCGACTCGCAGGGTTTTCCAGCCATCGGTCGGTACAACAAGAACGCGGAGACGGAGCCGAAAGGTTGCCGAGGAAAAGAAGAACGCAGTGATGTGTTGTGAGCTACATAAGAAGAACAGCAGAACCAACCGCCTGAATCATCCAGCGAACCCAAAGTTCCCTGAGACACCGATGAGTGAGCGAGCGATCGACCGACTGACTGGCGAACCAACAAAGCAAGTAAGCAGCCAGCCAGCTAGTCCGCCGGCCGAGGGAGCAGCATTCACTCAGGAAGTTGGCGAAATTCACACCCCGACCATCAGAAGTCAGAAGAGCATCCTCTCTCAACTCAAGAATCCTTTCGATCTGTCAACTTATACGAGTAGCTCGAAGGGACGAAACGCAGCGTAGCAGCGAATAAATTCTGACCGAATCTTCCCCGACCAAAGGTCATCCACGAGGAACGGCTCTCTATGCCCATTCACCGGACCCTTGGATAGGATCCTTTTTTCCAACTATACCTCTCTGCAGCCCGATACATGGAAATTCTGCTGAGGGGGAAAATTTGATATCCACCGTTCGTCTTGGACCCCTTGGACACGTCACCTCCGGAACGGAGATCCTTCAGCAAAGCGTGGCTTAGAGTTACAAGACCGGGGTCCGAGTGACGATCAGTGACAGTGAGCGTCACGTGACCCAGTAAAACCGTTCGATTCGGGTCAACTACGTGTATTCACCAGGAGTTCCCGAATCGACTGTCGGTGGTTGGGATCTGGCTCACCATGCTTCGAGGGGAACCGAACTCTATCGACAGTGCACCCTCACACAGAGTACGTGGTCTCTGTGGGTCTCAATTCGCCGTAGTTTGTAGAAACAAGAACCAACATGGCCGCCGGGGCCCTATGCGGGTATGTTGGAGCGGAAAATCGCGACACTACGAGCATCTCTCGAGCTCGAGGACCAGACCCGTCTCCGTGAGACGTCTTCCTCCGATCTGCGACCGAATCCCGAAGGGTCACGTCATCAAGATGTTGTAACTTGAAGTTTCCTTATACTTACCCGTGTCGTTCGACGGAACTCTTGAGAATTCCTCGGTCGTGGTCGCCGCGGTCGTCGCGGTGTTATCTTCGGCTGTTCTTCCTCCCCCGCGACGAACTCCTCCGTCGGCCACTCCGACCTTCACTTTTACACGCGGTCGGCTCTCCTCAGGAACAACCAGAGTGCAGCTAGCGAGGTAGCTAGAGCAGCCTAGCGGCCGTAGCAGCGATGGCAGGCAGACAGGGGCCCTGGAGCGGTCTCTTCCCTAGCTCTAACGTGCCCCCCATTTTCCCGGAGGCCCCCCCGCGTGGAGGAGCAACCCTCACCCGGGCCCTCCCGCCTCTCGGGGAGCCAACCAACCTCCGCATTCACCGGAATCTCCGAGGTTGCGCGCGCACGATTCAGAGGGCAGACCCGCCAAAAGCGTACATGGAGTGGGCAAATACTGTTGTCAGGACCATCGCGGATCACGATTCGGACGACTTCCCGAGGAATAGAGCTTCGGTCTCCCAATGATTCTTTTGCACATGACGGCGAAGTCGCCTGGGCTTGATATGTCCGAGTTCCCATAATGCGATCGACTGTTTCTACCTCGTAGAGATTAGAATCGGAATAGAATGAAGAATCTTAGCGAAAATGTCCGATAGCTGAATCCTTGTCGCCGAGCTCCAAAGTCAGCTCGACTTCGAAGTGTGACTTTTTCGGCGACATCTCTCCCTGAGTTCGGCGGGCATTATCATTCCACGAAAAACAGAAATCTGGGAAAAATCCCGCTGGGGAGCCTCAGACGCGGTTTATTTGCAAGATTCCTACTTTTCTCGTCGTTTTTGGAGCGTCCAAATGGTATCCTGATTCAGAGTATTCGCGCTGGCCACCTTGTAGTTGTAGCGAGTGAAGAGATCCAGGACTTCCACTGGCGATTTACGGATATCGACCAAGGTATACGAATCCCTGTTGTTTATCTCGGGGAAAACCTGCAATCACGATGTTCTCAGTTCTACAATCCACAGTTCGCTTCGGAATCGAAGGAGTCCCAACAACAAGGACGAATTCTCGAAAACGACGGCTATTGGACTATAATTTTTGGGAACATCCTCAGTAATCCCTGTTGATCTCCGTTAAGTTTCTTATCAGATTATTGTCCCTCCAAGCGGGAACCCATTGATACCGGTTTCTCACCTCTGTGATCGTCTCATCGATTGTCTTGATGTATTTCCAGTCGCCACGAATGGTGCAGGTGTTGTCGGTGTGCTTCCCCTGGATTAGGATGGTCGCCGAGACGGAGCAGCCGAGGAAAGCAACTCCGAAGAGCGTCAAAATGGCGAGACGTGGACCGGCCATGTTGCAAGTGATTTTTCCAGTCGGAACGACACTGCTTTTATATCGTCGACGAAAGGAAGAACTTGATTGAGCCATTGTTCTGGGAGGGTTTTTCGACTCGCTTGTCGGAAGAATGAATCAAAGGAAGGATCTGCTTCCATTAGGATTATTCTCTCGAAGCCGCTCTGGATCTCGCTCATGATGGACATTCGAAATCGAACCTCGAAGTTTCGACACAGAACGGTGCCACTCTTCGATATTGAAGAGCCCAGAAAAAGAAGGAGAGGAATCATGGTGACCGGCAGCATCCGCTGATATCATTCAAAACATCGAGCCGCGTCGCTCAGATATTTGTACTTGCACTTTCCGATGAAAGCGCACAGCCGGACATAATCACCGGAACTAAACTACAGCTCCATGCTTTCCGGGTTACAACTGACCGTCTATGAGCAGGGAGGGAAGAATCATTATCGTGCTCGATAGTTCATGTTCTCGGGAGCTGAACCTCATGGATGTTGTCACTAATCGAGTCGGTGCCGGCGAGCTCGAGTGTTGCCGACGACTGAGCTGCCTCCGGTATGGCCTAGGAATGTTCGCCCGCCCGCGAAACTCCATAAGATCTCTAGGGATGAGAGTTTCGACTCCAGAAGATGTCCTTAGAGCTTAAAAATCATCCATGTCGACAGGGACGATATGTTGTTTTGGAAAGTTCCGTCGGATCGGCGCCCGAAAATTTCCCCGTCACCGCAATCAGTTTGAGAACGCGAAATATCATTCGAATCCGAGATCGATCTCCTGCTGAGAAATAGTAGTTCGCGAAAAAATATTCGATTCCACCGCGAGCTTTCGGAATGTCTTCTGAATAAACTATTCATCCTTAATTCGTCCGGGACAACATGATCTTTGGCTCGAGCGCCGTGGATCTCGACTCTCAATGGGAGGAAGCATGAACGTGAATCTCAGCATGAATTCTTTCCGCAGACGTCAAGACAAAACTTCAGGCAGACGGGCCTTTTGGTTTGCCACCCTCGCTTACAATGTCCGATGATTGACCATCGGCGTCGTCGGGAACGAGTGCGAGCTTATGACTCCAGAGCCGCGATGTCGTCATGCCCGCAGGGATATGGGGGAAACACCCCGAAAATGCCCCCATGTCGACCTGAATAGTTTTTTCCCTGAAACCTCGGGATCTCGATTCCAGTCGATGCTTCCCGCTGAACTTGCGGTGCACTCAGATCGTATGCTTGAAATCCACTCGGAATCAAACGTGGATTTTCTCTCGGTCGTAGGGAAGCGTGTATACCTACATATACAATTTGACACTTCCGCTACCATTAGATATGAGATTCACCGGCGTCCCATAGCTCCGCCAAGAAGTCGTGGACCGTTAACGAGATCGTCTGTAAGGGAGCATCCAGTCCTCAGTCCACGACAGAGGAGGTTAGTCGCAGAGGGAGTTCTCCGCTTGCGCTACCGATGTTATACTAGGGAGAATGGGTGTCTCAGAATTCCGGACCGATGAGCGCGGAATTGAGTGAAGAATTGCGGTAAGCTCCCATCCTTGGAATCTGATCTCCTCCTGCGAGAAAGTCCGGTAGCCCCTCAGCGTCTAAGAATCAGCGTCTCCCTGTCGCATCATCGACGCAGCGCCGGCCCTCGACGGTGGTACGACGACCGTTTTCGAAAATCGGCGCGCGAGCAACCCTATGCGCTGATCCATCCATTCGGTCAGAGATCAGCCCGGCGGCCAAGAAGGTAGAAGGTGGCTATCGTTTCCAAAACACAGATTTTCTGCAAGTCAGATCTATTCGAAGACTTCATTCCAAGGTGATTATTTACGTGATTTAGCGATGGTATGACCCGTGCCCCTAATGGTTGGACACTCCCGACACTATGCTAGTGAGACTGACAACGCCCGGCAGCAGGCATTTGCGCATTCATGGCAGGTTCCTGATCCGCCGGACCGGATCCTGCAGGCTCATCTCAGACTCCGAACCGACGAGAGTTGACAGAGGATGAACCATCAAACTATTTGTCGCGTGCCGATGATTGATGATTGAGTGCAGCGAAAAATCGATGCCGCTCTTCAGAATTCAGCTCCCCCGTTACCGTTTGGAGCTCCGGAGTCGACGGAGCTGCCGCTTTGAAGCTAGCGCGTGTCGTAGAATTTCTTTGACGGAATATTTCCATTCCAGATGTTTATGACACGGAGTGAGTACGATAGGGGTGTGAATACATTCTCTCCCGAGGGCCGACTCTTCCAAGTCGAGTATGCCATCGAAGCGATCAAGGTGAGACGACCGTCTCCCTAATTCTCCCCTGTCCGAGGGTGCCTTCGTCTCGGATTATCAAGCGAATCCCCGCTCCGACGTGACGCATAGAGGGACAAGGGGGTGACGTTAACCATCGTGTTTCAGCTCGGATCTACAGCGATCGGAATCCAGACATCGGAGGGCTGTGTTCTGGCTGTGGAGAAACGAGTGACATCGCCGCTGATGGAGAGCACTACCATCGAAAAAATTGTCGAAATCGATAAGTTCATCGGTTGCGCGGTGTCAGGATTGATGGCAGATTCTAGAACCATGATAGACAAAGCCAGAGTTGAAGCCCAGGTGAGCCCTAAGCTCTCGTGAACCTTATTCGAGAAGCATCGGTGACAGAAGATCTCCCGAGCCTTTTTGACGTTCTGACCGACTTCGTTGCAGAACCATTGGTTCAACTACGATGAGAGCATGCGCGTCGAGTCGTGTGCTCAAGCTGTCTCGAACCTTGCGATCAAATTCGGTGACAACGATGACGATGGTACAGCCATGTCGAGACCGTTCGGAGTCGCGATTCTATTCGCGGGCATAGACGAGAAGAAAGGCCCTCAACTGTGAGTCTTCTTCTCGCGAGCGTATTTCCCTCATCTTCTGCGGAGAAGGAGCTTTCTGAGCGTTCGTTCGCGCTTGAATTGTTCCCTGCTAAGCCGTCCTAAGAATCATCTCGTCGTCTTCTAGGTTTCACATGGACCCCTCAGGAACATACGTCGAATTCTTGGCCAAAGCCATCGGTTCAGGATGTGAAGGAGCCCAGCAGGCCCTGCAAGAAAAGTATCACAAATCGATGACGCTCAAGGAAGCCTTGAAAGAGATTCTTGTTATCCTCAAGCAGGTCATGGAGGAGAAGCTCGGTGTTGATAATGTGGAAGTTGCCACAATCACAAAAGAAGCCGGTTTCCACATGTTCACAAAAGATCAAGTTAGGGAAGTCATCCAAGATATTTAAGTGATTTTCAAGAAAAGGCTCGCTCGGGGCAGAACAGCATCGACCATTTTTAATGAACGGTGTGAGCCATATTGAAATAAAAAACACATCCATTCGAAGAGGCGGAACGGTTTCCTCCAGCGATGTCATTTATAATTTCCGGTTCTCATCGAATACTGGTTTCGTGCGTAATATTCATCTCCAAGAGAATCCGACAATCCCTTTAGTCGGAACATCGGAAGTCCGAAGACATCCACCGTACAGTTGATCGGAAAAACGTCAGACTTTCGCATCGGGGAAAATCGACTTCTGTAGCATGTACATATGTAAGAAGAACGTCGGCGCCGGCTCCATCACCTTCCGGTGGGAACGAACGAAGGATTTAGATCCATACAAAGAACGAGCACCGAGCCTCCTTATTGTCGCTTCGTCCCTCAGGTCGCGCACAGCAATAGAAGCGCTTGCCTTTGTTTATACCGTCTTTCTTCACAATTCTCAAAACCGAAAGCTCTCCATGCCCAGAGCACAACGGAGCCGGAGGGGGGCCTCTCAGGATATTTTTCCAGTTGGAATTTAGTTCTTTACATTTTGCCGATTTTTCGATCCTCTCGGGCACAGGTGTGGATTCCGGCTCATCACTGGCAGCGATTTTCGGTTTTTTGGCGAAGAATGAGCTCAGCGTAGCTTGACCACCGGCTGCACCAGAGCTTCTTTTTTTCGCTGTGGGCTCTCTAGCGCTTTCCGCGGAGGAAGTTTTTTTCACCAAGAAACTGCTAAGCGAGGTCTGTTTGCCGGAGAACTCCGGCCAGTTCCTCGTGCATTTCCTGATGAGTTTCTCGTTTGAGATCAGATTGAGTTTCAGAACAGCCGATACTGGACAATGGTCCGAGCCCATGACATCCGGATGGATGTCGCAGCTCTCAAAATACTCTAATAGTTTTGAATCGCAAATTATGTAGTCAATTCGAGTCCCGAAATTTGTCAATCTCGCCGATTTTTGGGAGTTCCAGCAAGTGTACTGCTCCTTGGCGTCTGGATGCATGTGTCGGAATACATCCACAAAATAAACATCTGTAACCGCAACAAACATTTGTAACTATCGAATCACAAGGAAATCATGAGGGAATTCTATCTTTGGGACGAGAAGGCGATTGTCAAGTTGATTACCATTCTGCTGATCTAACATCTTCGTCAGCCAGATACGCGCCGGGGATTCCTCAAAATCTTCACCGGGATCACAGTTATCGATTCTTTTGTGGGAGATATTCATGTCACCGGTCAAGATGACGTGGAATCCTTTCTTCACTAAGCAGACGGCTTGATGTTCGAGCATGGCGTTAAAGTTGTACTTAAATTGAGCCCGCTCCGGCCGATCCGGGTCGTTCCGTGGACAATACAAGTTGAAAACTAAAAGTTGTTTCGTCTGCCCAGCTCCATCACTGGAATGAGAAAGACACTCAATATTGGGAGCCTAAGTATTCTTGTGAACGGGAGAACAACGTCTGGGGGCCTTGTATTCGACCGAGAGTGTCCATCTGGGGAGTTCTGATCGGGGCATGCTCCGATCACTCACAGGAAGTTGAATGATGTGACCAGGGTCCGGCCTTCGGAGTCAACGTTGAGAATCTCTTTTTGGGAAAGGAATGCATTTTCCTCGAGTGGATCTGGGACGTCGGTCAGTTCATCCATTTCATTGATGCCGTCGCTTTCGCAAGCCAGAAGACTCTCGTTGGCAGCGAAAGGCCTCACATTGTCGGAGCAGTATGTAGCGACCCCGGAATAGCCGGTGAGTAGGCGCGGAAAAGCGAAGTATGAATTGTATCCGGGGACACACGCGAGATCTTCCTCCAAAGTGGAGCCTGCAGCAAGGATGCGCTCTGTCAGGACTTATCAATCGTAATCGACCTAGTTGAGGCCGGGAGATCACGATGAATGGAACTCAACTCACGGTTCGTCTTCGTTTCTTGTACGCATATAATATCGGCGTTGAATGAATCCAACGTCGATCGCAGAACTCCTTTGAATGTCCGGAGGCCGTTGATATTCCAAGTAACGATCTTCATTGGCGCTCTTTGAAAGGCGGTTCTACATCGCTCACGAATTCTTGCACAGGATTGCCCTTCCAAATTCCCCCTCACGAGGCCGTCGGAGCCCCTGGGACAAAATATGATCGTCTTCCTCGAAGTTTCCCTCGTCTAGGCATCAACCTGTCAAATCAACCACCGTTTGCCTACAATGGCGCCATCCGATCAGCTGTCCCCTCGACTGGTTCGAAAACGCCCGCCCTTTTCTGAGACGGGGAATTTCCTCGCCATAAGATCATTCCCGTTCCACGAATTGAATTTTGCTTAGTCGGGACCAGTCTCGTCCAGAGATCGCGATCAGGACTCTCTCATGCGATCTTCCTCCGCTGATACATCGCTTGCGAAAGGTGTCGCGAAACTCCTCTCCTAAATCTGTTTACATGAGAACTAAGGAGGGAAGCAACCCACGTGTTTTCGCGGCGACCCGAAACCCGCCGTTCTGAATGGGGATTCTTCCCCCGAATTTCCTACTGGACTAACGAAGGAAACAACCCACGTCAATCTTTCTGCAGTGTCTTCTGGACAGAAAGGCTGACTCGCGTCTGAAGATGACGGTCTCTTGTGAAGAATTGATGCTACTGCTCCTCCATGACGATTCCCGCGCATCGGACAACCCCGACTTCAACACTATTGTATCTTTGCTGAAAGCAGGGAATTTCCGCGAGCTTTTCGAACATCCGTGGTTCCGTAAGTTCGGAGCGATTTCGTTTAAGTCTACCGAATCCGTATCCGAGTTTCTGGACAATGACGTTTGTGGGGGCGATGGATCCGACGGACTCGAATTGCTCACGGCCGGTGTTGTTTTCTTGAGCTACTTCTTCCGAAGAAATTTCATAGGACCCCCCGATGATGGAAGTACAGACTCGGTGGCAATCGGTGACCAAGGGAAAGACTCAAGGCTCCTGGATATCGATGGAGAGCAAGCCTATCATCTAGTGACGGTCCCATGGGCCCTGTTTGCCGCGAGGAAAATATTGATCGAGAAGGCCGAAGAGCTGAAATCCTTTAGAACATTAAAAGTGTGGCAGCAACGTTACGCCATGACACATCAACAACTTATCTCGGAACGTGTTCAGTCGCTCCAGAGAATCGTTGCTGAGTGTACCGCCGGCCTCGACGACGATTCGCTCATCGAGCACACGGAGCTGTGGTGTCAGTTTCATCTCGAATCGGCCGTAGCGAATGTCGAGTTCTTCAACGAAGCTCGAGCGGCCGACATTCTCAGGAATGTTTCAAAGCGCCTCGGCTTCAATGTCAAGCTCGATGGAGCCCTCGGGACTAGAACTCGCTTCCAACAGAAATCCGTCGCTCAACTGACGCTCACAGTCGAACGAGCCCCAGGCGAAGTTTGCATTGAGCACGAAGATGTGCAGAATAAAGATCAACTGCCAAAAGACGTGACCCTCCAGGATGAGACTGTTCTACACCAAATCAAATTTGACCAGGAACAGGAGAATAGCCGATTGAATTGCATCGAGCAAACCATCGTATTGGGGATCTCGATGCTCCGGAAATGCCTCAGCGGGGCAGAAGAGCTCAGAGAAGAAGAAGTCGTCGCTCATTACTCCCGTTTGGTCACCGATCCTCAGATATGGGGGATTCAGTTCAGCGCGCTTTACCAGAGGTCGAGGATAGAAATTCAAAAATCGCGGAAGGTTGAGAGGGCTCTCTCTCAGTTCCAGCTCCTTCTCGATTGCGTCCGCAGCGACAAGATGCCGTTTTCTGAACGCAGCCGAATGGCGTTCGCGTGCCGCATACCGCCGATCTGGAAGCTGGAGCGAGACCTAGCTCAAGGTCTCCTCTCGCTGGGATTGACCAAATCCGCCCTGGAATTGTTCCTCCGTTTACAAATGTGGGAAGAGGTCGTCGGTTGCTATCAATCGACAATGCGAAGCGATCGAGCGGAAGCCCTCATCCGGCAGCTGCTCAACGAGCAAGAGACTCCTCTGTTGCATTGTCTCCTTGGAGAGATCACAGGGGACACAGACGAGCTCGAACGCGCGTGGAGTCTTTCCGGAGGGTCCTATGCCCGTGCGAAACGGTCTCTCGGTGGCTATCATTACCAGAAACAAGAATATCAGACGGCGATAGATCACTTCAGACAAGCACTCGAACTCAATCGCTTGCAATGCACGACATGGCATAGAATCGCGTTCTGTTATATGAAAACTGAGCGCTATGCCGAGTGTGTCTCCGCTTACAAGGAAGCGGTGAACCTGAATCCAGATAATTTCGAGGCGTGGAACAACATGGCCAAAGCATACATCAGCCTCAACGAAAGGGAGAAAGCCTGGCGGGTCTTGCAGGTCCGTGCGAAATCGCTTTTTCAATCGCATTCGAATCATCATTCTCAACGACAACAGACGCGTTGGAAAAAAACATTTGATTGCCTGTGATTTCCATACTCGGAGGGATTTTTAAAATTTTATTTTTCCTACCTATTGCAGGAAGCTTTGAAATGCAACTACGATGACTGGCGGATTTGGGAAAATTACGTTCTGGTGTCAATGGACGTCAAAGCGTTCAACGAGGTCATCAAGGGCTGGCACCGCCTGCTGGACCTTAAGCACAACTTCGCCGACGGGAGGCTTGCAAATCTTCTGGTGAAGGTGATCGCTGACAATATCAAAGATGTTGACGGCAATCAGACCGCGTCCTACCTGCGGAAGAAGTTATACGAGCTTTTTGGAAGAATTACCGCGACCCTGTCGGCCAGCGATGAAATTTGGAGCGCGTACGGCGATCTCCATTTCCACAGTGAGCCCGCTGAGGGAACGTCATGGTCGGAACACGTTCAAAAAATCGTTCAGTGCTATCAGAAGGCTATCCGATTCACTATGCAGTCTAAGTCCTGGGAGAAAAACTCGGAGAACGCTTCGAACATCCTCCTGCTGCTAGAGAGAAGTTGGAGTGTAGTCGATCACTTTTCAGAAAAAATCTCCCCCGAGCAAAAGGAGAGGATCAGGGCTTCTCTAGAAATGACTTCCAAAAATGCGGTCTCATTGATTTCACGATCACTCGAATACCACAATGAGGCGGTCAGAGAGAAATTCGAGAAGAGCATGGAAAATATTAAAACGCACCACTAGCTGAAGAATTTTCAACTCTGTATTGTCTACCTCAATTTTTGACTAGGCGCCGAGTGGCGGAAGAATTAGACGTCCCCACGATTTCTCCGGAATACATTATGAGCGAGATGTGTGCCTGTGCACGCTTGTGCTATCTCCGGATGCAGACGGAAGTCTTCCTTGATCGGGTCATTATAATCTTTTGATCGTCGCCGAATCGGGCGTTCCCTCGATCAAGTAACTATAATCTCTCGACCAGACTCGGAACAGAGTTCTGTTCCGTCGGATGGAGAGCACTCTTCACTCCAATTGATCGAGACGCGATGCAGGACCAGAGACATTCAGTAGAGTTTTGATCATCTGCCTATCTACTTCGGAGTGATCCCACTTGATTGATAAAGTTATACATTCCGGTCTGCTCCCGGATATCGCTGTTAGTTTAAATTCGCATCTTCATGAACCGCTGATGTTCTTGGACTAGTGCCGATGTTTTCTGAAGGCGGAGGATTAGTGGAACCGGATCTATCACGAGCTCAACAGAGTTGGGAGCCTGGCGCCGATTGACGGCATTAGCTCCTAGAAGAAGTATTGCTCTGAGGAGGATCCTTCAACAACCGACAGCGACAATGGCGGCCCGAATTTACTATTCAGACGTGCTAACAATCTAACAAGGTTCGAATGCGGACTTCTCGTCGTGTGTCGCTCCGGTCAAGGCAGTGAATTTTTCAGCCCTGGCCAGGAAAAAGCGAAATCCAGAACCTCGTGACCCGAATTCTGAGGTTTTCTCTTGTATGGGAAAGCGAAGAATAACTCGAGACTTAGTTTTTCCTCTCGAATAACGCTCTGTTCGTCCGATGATCAGATCAGCTAGATCGACAGAATTGCGAGTAGATCGACCGATTCAAGATCATTTTGAAAGCCATATATTCAAAGCCTGCCCCCGCCACCGAAGGAGGTCAACTCCGAGCATGACTCAGTCAGAAAAATAGAAATATTGAGAAACGAGCTGAACCCACCCCAGTAACTCGGACAAAATCGACCCCGCAGTCGAAACAACGCAACCCGCGGAGCTCGTGAAGGGAGATGTGTACCGTCCACGTCCACGACCACTACCCGGTGCCTCGAGGGGCTGCGGACCGGCACCGGAGCACGGTGCATCGACTGGAATAATTCTCGCCTCCGAGAATAACCAGGTCGCCCCCGTCTTCATCGAGGTTTCACTCTCTGCATCAATTATGCGAACGAAGCAGGTTGGGTGCTCGTAGAACGATCAGCTGTGATCGTGAAATGTGTTCTTCGTGTTGAGGAACTCCAGAAGACATTTGCTCGCTAAGCCCGGCTGAATCTCGGTCTTTTCGTCGCCATCAGCCTGGCTGTTCATCTTTCTGGTGGTGGCGGTGCTGCTGCTGCTGATGGTGGCGACGGCGGCGGCGACTCGCTCGGCCGGCTGCCTTTGCTCTTTGGGTTTTCTGTGTCGAGCAAAGAATTCCCCTCTCTTCTGAGCGAAGGCAGCGCCGTGCGTTCCCGCGAACGAATGGACCGATCCGCGGGCTCCGCACCGTTTCATGTGCGAGCTGTCGGCTGACCCGCTGCAAACCAGCACCGTCGTCATAACATTTCAGTCATCCATTCTCTAGACACACAACGGACGGCTCGTGAATATACCCTGCAGAGCTGAAGTTCGTAGTTCCCTTCGGTGGTCAGCTTCATCCAACTGAAACATGTCAGTGCCGAGAGACTGGATCGACAATTTGCTCGGGCTCGACAGAGATCCACGAACACTCCAGTGGTGGATCACGGGAATAATTCCCATTCCCGCCGTGCTCGTGGCCTACACCGCCGCGGCGACGGTTTTGCCCTTATTGATGAGTGGTCGCAAGTCCCGACTGCCGATCTCAACTCCAGTGCTCGCGGCTTACAATGGACTCATGTGTGCAGCTCACGGATTAGTTGGCCTACTGCTGCTCTACGCTTACCAAGAGTCGGGACGTTCCTTTGTGTGCCAAGACCAGTCGTTCGACGCGAATCCGACGTCGGCCCTCCTCCTGAAGCTCGTGTGGTTCTATTCTCTGCTGAAACAGCTGTCGATGCTCGACGCCTTCATCTTGATATCTCTGATTAAAGAAAAACGCATCGCCAACGCAAGTGTACTCAACGGATACCTCAGCGTGGCGAATACGTGGTGCTTCTTACGATACGGTGCCGACGGTCAGGGTGTGCCTGCGATCGTCGCTCTGTGCCTCGTAGACTCAGTGACGTACGGATACTTCGTGTGTTCGGTTCTGGGATCAGGTGTGATGTCGGTGCTTCGACCCCATCGGGTGCAGCTGACCCGGCTCCAACTGATCGGAACATCCCTAGCCCTGGCTAATTATTTCGTAGCGCTGATTGCCGAGTGCAAATACCCCTCGGTTCTGGCTTTGCTCGGATTCGCTCACGTAGGAATGCGTTTCGTGAGGCTCTTCGACTTCTACACAGAGAAGTTTGTGCTGAATGGAGTCCGGCTTGGCCTCGACTGGACCATCATCGCGGGAATTCTCGAGAACTGCTGCTTCGCGCAAGGAAACCCCAGCGGTCAGCAGGACGACGATGACGACTATCCAACGAAAGCTGCGCCTTCAACCGGTTTCCGTAACGGATTCAGCGGTCCGATCACGAAACCCAAGCGGGGCTAGTGATCTCGCTCCGACGAGGAACCACCCGCCGCTCGGAATACCCAAATAGACTCTGCTCCAATCAAATCTCAAAGACCTGCATACGCTTCGACATATGCCAGGCTCTTGAATTTAGAATACTGTGATCTAGCAGTCATCGATGTAAATCTCGCCCGTACTTATTGTCGACTACGAAAAGATTGGAGGACAATGGATTCATTTACATTGGCCGTCTTCAACTTGCTCAGCGGAGATGATGATGATTATGAAATAATAAAGATACCAATCCTGGACGCTGCTCCACAAACAGACCAATTCTGGTGATTTCTTCAACCCGGTCTCCGATATGGGCAGAGCGATAGCGAAGCCACGTAGAAATTGCGAGTTCGGCTTGGGAATGCGCGCTTGCTGTTGGGTTTTCGCTAACCCACTTCCCGTTGGTTAGCGCTATTCATGTTCAGGGCAACGGCCGGTCAGTGGTACTACGAGCTGTGCGCGCTTCAATCGGTTCCGAACCGAGACAGTTTTCCTACTTCTCGCCATACAATCAGTCCGCCGAGCAAGACCTCACTTTCCATGCTCCAGATAGCCGGCGACCGTACTTCAGGAACGTGCAGGCTTGTAGGTGAATGACGGTCAATTTACGGTGCGGAGTGTTTGTGCTAGACCAGCGATATCTTCGTCCAGCTTGTGCGCCGTAGAATAATCGATTCAAATAGACGGTGCTGTGCCTGATTTAGCTGAGATAATAATCAACGAGAATGAACTTCCAGACGGCACATCCGACTGAGCAAATACCCGCGTCGGTCCGCCAAGGCGGAGTAGCTGGAGTCGAAAATGTTTGGGAGCCACAAGGAATTGTCCACGTCGCGAAGGTACTGTTTGCCGGGACGCAAGAGAAGTGAGTCGGCCGCCCCTGGCGGAAAATAATGATCCTCCTGAACTCGATATATTCACCGGAAGCAGATGAACGCTGTGAGCAGAGCATGATTCTCTTGAGGCTCTCGAGCCTTGCCGACACTCGGACGGGAGTATTTCTCTGGCACCACCGGAGGAGATACATGCTTTATTCGAGTACTCGAATTCCTTATCCTTCCATCAAGGCTCGCCGGGCGAGCGAATCCCATCCCACTCGGCAGCTCGTATTTTGCCCGAAAATATCTGACAGAAGAGGACGACGCTCAAGATTGGATCCCGACTTCGGGCCGAAAAAGCCTTGCGTCGTTCAGTGGCCGGACACACCGGACGCGCATCCGCTCCACTGACAAGCGCGAAATTAATTTCTGCCGAGATGTAGAGCCGCGTACAAGTATAGGGAAAGCGGTCAGAGACGCGATTGTCGCATCCCGGACTGTTTCCCGAGTGCTATTGAGATGACGCTTTCGGAGAAGAATGGGAGTCTCATTCCAGTCCTCGCAAGTTCTGCTTGCCTGACCTCAGACGGCCGATACTCCTACGGAAAACAGCTTTTCTGGACGTGTTGACTCACTTTTCCTGACCAACCGAGTGGTGATATGGAAATCACAACTTGCTCCCGCCCACCACTTCCTCTGTCCTCTTCCGGCGGGATTCATGCTGTTGGGAGGAGACGCCTCACATATCAGCCGGAGCGCTCACCAGCGTGAAGCAGGACGTTTTCCGCGAAAAAACCCTCAACAAACTTCCGACTCCGGGTTCTCTTCATCAGTGGAGGTGTCTAGATACTTTTGACTCAGTGAGCGACATTGACAATGAGCGACCCGCAAGAATGTAGGTGAGCGCCGCGGCGATCACGTCATGAGAACAGTTGGCCTTCCCAGGAGAGCTGAGAAGGTCTTAGTGTTTTCTTCACGATATACGTCTTCCGTCCGCAAGATGCCTCTGCCAATTGTTCCGGAAAGTTCGTGTTTACTCCATTCACTGTCGTCTTGGCGAACATCTTCCATTCCCCACCGGCTTCATTGAACGCCAAAGGAATGACGTCCCCATATGCTACGGACAATGATTCAGTTTGATTAGGCGACCGCCCTCGTTCTCAGAAATCAGAAGAATATTCGTCACGGGTCACTCCCTTTCGATTGCAGCGTTCATGGGGTGAACGCACCGCTTTCAATAAAGCGGAGCTCCTTAATCACATCTTCGGGGCGATCTCTCGGACATCGCCAGCTCCTACGACGGGAACGGGGCTTTCGCAGAACGTCCTTATCGAGCTCAGTTCGGGAGCTCAGTCCGGGAGCTCAGTCCGGGAGCTCAGTCCGAGAGGCTTGATCCTTTCGGCGGATCGGAGGATTCGATGCGACCCCGATGCCCGAACTTCCCCATCGCGATCATGTGAGTCGAAGAGTGAAGTGAGTCAAAACCATCGCGAGTGTCTCAGGCATAGGTTCGCGTCAATAGAGTGCCCTAGAGATGTGGGACGAAGGAAGGTAGAACTGGATGATTTGCGTGCAGGGAGAATGAAGCTCTCATCCTCAGAAGCGCGGCGAGGAGTATCCTTCGCAGTGAGGCGGTCGATTCTGGAGCGGAGGACTTCCGCCAGCTTCAGCTACCGTCAGCCTTCAGTCAGATGCTCTGGACCATTTTCTTGTGTGCTTCCTACCGATATTACCAGCTGACCTCCCTAGTCGGGGATTGTGCTGGGATCAAAACAACGACTGTCGCGTCGTCCGATCGTCATCGGCGATATACGATGGTGCGAATGAGCTAGCTGACGATTATTACATAAGTTTCTGAACCACGAGTCGCAGCTGCCGTATCGAGTCAGCTTGGAAGTTCCGACTGTAATCGTTGTGATTGTATATCTCACTCCTGCTCGGCGTGACGTTCGAGTGGCGGAAGCCAAGCGACGGATCGACGGTCATCTATGCCCAGCCAGTTCCTAAAGACACGGATCAGCTGATGTGATTGAAAAACTCCGATGCAGTCGGAACGCTCGATCGAAACGTAACAAGTCTACATTTTTGACCAGGGTGTCCCGTCCAACGAAATCCCTTGACACACACACATGGAGTCTAACGCCTACAAGCGGTCGCGCACTTCTTGAATTGTCCCTTCCGCTCATTTTATTTTATTCTTCCTTCATTTATGCGGCGTCTTTTCCGTTCGCGGCGTGCGGGCTGTTGGGTCTCGGATGCGATCTCGGCCGCGTTTCCGCTCGCTGCGACGCTGGCTCACTGATCACTTTCGATGGAAAAATAAATCTCGCTCCGCTTCTCCGTCGCTCGAAGATACGGCCTTGCCCAAGTATTACGTCCGTTCCAATCTTCGGAGCGCCTATCGGAGCGGGAGAGAGCGCGGCGAGTCAGCGTACCTCTGAGCGAAATACGGTCGATTGATCGCCCAGCGTCCATCGGCCTAGCATACCTTCTCATCGGCGGTCTCCGTCAAGTCATAGCACTCGTTGATGGATACGAGGTGCTGCACGGATAACATCCGGGAAAATGAGTACCATTGAAAGTCCTCCGACGAGAGTATAGGGGAAGCCTCCCGACTTCCAAAAGATTCGGTGTGCAGTTCAAGATCAGAAGAGTTTGAGCACATACCGGCAGCGTCGATCTGAGTCATTCTTGCGGATGGCCGCGGATCTCGGAGTCAGATCGCTATTTTATCTCATCTCTAGCTCGGTGGGCCGGCGGATTGATGCCGGCGAGTGAAACGTGCGATTAGAAGATGAGTAACGGTGGACTTTTGCCCCTACCTCCGACTGAGAATATCTATCATTTCCCCAACCAATCTGGAAGAAGGCAAGCACGCTCTCCTACCCGTTTCCGGAGGGTTCTGGAGCCCATGAATTTTTCAACTGACTGAAATAGGGGGCCGATTCTGCTGAGTATCCTCGCGTAGTCTGCGAGGGATCCAAAAGGGAAGTTTGCCTCCTTGTCGATTGCCCCGAGGTTCACAAACCTATACTACCACTCGTCGTCGTATGATTCTCATTAGAGACCTTCTGGGGCTTTACCCCTAAGCCCATCTGGCATACAGTTCCGTCGCTCCCTACAGCTTGCTAGTAACGGCTGCCTCTACCCGTCGATCGCTCGTCTCGACTGGTAATGCTCGTGGCGGCCGCCGTTTCGGAGTTTTCGGAAGGGATGAGGGCCAGAGGGTTGCTTGGGTCAGCCTTTCGGTAAATGAGAAATAAATCCTATTTGACATCTGGCCCCCCGAAATGATCGATGAACGCAGTCGACTGAGTCAGCGAAAGTAGAGGGCTCCAGGAGTACAGCAGCTTCCAAGATTTGACCGTCATCATCTGCGAGGTGGGGATCGGGTCATCCATTGCCCTCATGCCAGAGGACCCCTCTCGAAGAAAAGAAAACAAGCGGCCCTTCCTCTGCTCCCCCCTCAAGAAACCCCGCACGCATCACTGCACGACTGTAGCCCGAGCATTGATTGATCATGAACTGAGATGTGGAAATGAGCTGATGCGCCTCCCCGATTCAGCAGAAGAATCATCAGGTGAATCATTTCTCTGTGTTCGCTGCGGAAGCGATGTCACCCTGATGCTGTGAGCTCGGCGGTATCATTGTTCGTGGATGAGCGGAATGAGTGAGTACATGAAATTAGACTAGATTTTCTGCGATTGAGACAGCAGGGTTGCTTGATATGTCTCTCTATGGGATGTCTCTCGCGAACTTCGAGGATCCCTCCACGATGCCACTCGGCGTGATTGCGATCTGACTCCTGCCTCAGGAGGTCCAAAATCGTTGTCTCTTGTAGCGGAAGCTTCACAGACTCGTGAGTAAGATCGAGGAATTCTTACGCCGTATCCTCCCTGGATGCTGGGAGCTTGAGACGCGCTCCGAAGAGAGGGCACGGAGAGAATTCGGATGCGCACAACGGAAAGTGAAACTTAGTCGGCCATTCGGTAAACATGACGCTTCGCTGCCTATCGTTTCTGGAGATAACGCTAGATTCTCCCACATTCAGATACTGCAGTGACTGATATCAGGGAAAATAGATTCGAGCCGGAAATTGAGACGAATAAATTTACTGTACATCTTGTTATTTCTCAACGAAGGATACGCCGACGTGATTCATTGTTTCCATCCCATAGATGACTGGGAAGATGATACAGTCCCGGGTTCCGGCCTTCAGAAATGGCGGCCGGAAGCTGGAACAGTGCATCATTCTGTCTACAGACGATGACGCTCGCATCGATTCTCGCGCAAGAACTTGATTTATGTGTGCCCACATAACCCAGTATCACCCAACAACGACTCATTGAGGAGGACTGCGGAGATTCCGACGGCGGTTTACGCCCTCGGCTGCACTATCCGGTTATATTAGAACCACATTTTATCGGGTTTCCCCCCGATTCTTATTGGGAATAGGAAGAAAGGCGAACGAACTCTGTCCCTGATTACATCCTCTCCAAGTTTTGGACCTCGCCATCGAGGCAACTTACTGAAGAATCCCGCAACGAAGCGAGCAGATACCGGAAACGGCGCCTAGAGGACCCCTGCTCTCCGAGAGACTTCTTCTCAATCGACCGCAGCCATCCCTGGGCTCCGTGTCGTCCGACGCGATACGTGGTGAGGGCAACGATTGAGCTAGCGGTGGAATGATTCACTGAGGGGTTCACAACAGTCATTATTTATTCAAGTCTCTCCAGGTAAATAGTTCTCTCATACAGCTAAGTCGCAAAATATATCGCGAGAATCACTCATGTCAAATTCCATAGATTTTGCCTCCATAGAATACTTTATACACTTTATCCTTAAACTGCTCCTTCTCCTCCGGCCGATCCCAGAGAAGAAAGGGTCTCTTTGATGCCCATCACCGGCTCGCCCCCCGTCGCAGTCAACAGTCGACGTTGGGCTGGCGATCTCGGAGGAATCTATCTTTACCGAATTGGAATAATGGATCAAATATGACGATAAATTCGAAAATAAGAATCCATTATCTCCACATGAAGCTCCAACATCATGCTCGTGAGCTACCCTTGGATGAACACATTCAAGGTTTCGCAGCTGAATGAAACACGTCTCTTCATGTCTCACTCACACTCCGACTCTTGCCTAAAACCAATCTCCCTCGGGATCGAAACATCTCGAATATATAAACGACAAACTTCAAGCCTCTAGGAACAGGTCCCGTCGAGAATTCTGCACACATGTATTTTTACACAAAATTGTAACTTAGACCAATTCCCAAATTTCCTCCTCCAACAGCTGTCGTCCCTCCATGAGACCAAGCTCTCTCTCCCTTTACAGAGTTCTGTAGCACGAATCTTTTGTGACCAAGATTTCTCTACATTGCTTCCGTCGGATGAATGGATGAATGATATCAGCGGCAATGTCCACGTCGAAAAAAACGACACATGGGATCAGACGTCCCCCGCCCCATTACGACGTCTACCAACCACCGCCGACTCCTTCGATTCATCGACAATATATCAGGCAGAACTCGGCACAGTTCAAAGAACCCATGTCAGTGGAGTGAGTTGAACTTCCGAAAAAATCATTGAGCATGCGCAAATTTATTGTCGAATACTCGATCGCAGATCGTCTGACATAGGACACCACTCTTCATGGTTTCGAGAATGTAGGAAGAGATGTCTCTCCCAATAGTGTGGTGTTGAACGATTGCGAAAAAAACTCCAACTAGCCGAACCTAGATTGCCCGATTGGATGCTCTCATTAACAGACGGTTTCGCAGGATCAACACGGGATCTCGATCCTCAGAGAATTGACGGAGTTGCTTTTCGAATGATCATCCTCCGACACTTCATGTGATGGAAACATACCGGCATCGGGGAGGGCGGAATTCTCTCGTAATGGCGAATAAACATCAAACAAAGCAATCGCCATACAGGAAGGACAGTTCGGCGGCTGAATTCTTCTCACAAGGCGTGAGCTCATTCGTGGCAAGCTCAATCCGTTTATCACTTGAGATAGCTTCACCAAGCATTTCCTTCCGGGGCATAAATCGAGGCGCTGTGTGATCGGAAATCAAGTCCCCATTGACCGATTGAGTGCCACAAGGACCAGGGTAATTCTCCCTCTATACCTAATTCACGGAATCTCAGAGGCCTTGAGCCATTTCTCGAGCTCGAAGTCCGCGCGTTCAGTCAACACAATGACTTCCCTCCAACAAGAGAATCGTGGGCTCTGAGCGCGGGGGTCTTCATTCTACAAATAGAGCCTCTGATTTCATCGATTTAGCTTGATTTCCCAGAAGGACAGCAATCACATTCCACTCGGTGGCCGGATCAGCCCTTCTTCAGGCTTCAACCGGACTCTGTCCGGTTCGATCCCTAATTACCGAAGGACGTGGCAATCCGGTCATTATACACATTATGTAAATTCAAGACATTCCTATCGGTATTTCGGTGACTCGGGCCCTAGAACATGATAAGATCGGATTCTCATCACCATGAGTCCGCAACGAGTTGCCGAACCTCAGATATACCTCGAAGATTTGGGATCATGCTTTTTTGCTGGTAACCTGCATGATTGAACATGCCAACGATTGTAAGTCTGGCAGGCGGAACGGAGGCTCTATTCGGGGATATCCGGAGCTCGAAACTAGAACCGTTGTACTCCTGAGCTGCCGGACAATATCTGGCAGATTTACCTCCGCCCTCGCGTTCCTTCTTCGAACTCAGAACGAGTCACAAGTGGAACGAATAAAAATAGTGTGTTCCTGAACTAATGGTACGCTCTGACCCTCGTAGTTCTGTCCAACATCAGCTCAGAGTCATAACTTCCTCCGCCAACTCAAGCCATGAATATTGTACATCAGATAATCGGTCGGATAACATGTAAATATCCAGTCTCCAAATAGCCATGCCCCTCCATCCCAGGATAATTATTAGAACGTGGTTTACCTACGTATATTTCATCTTGGTGTAATCACAGATCACTGAATCAAAAACAATTCGTCTCGTCTTGAAAGCTGCCGGATTCGAAGGAAGTCCACCACACGCGCGTTGACCGATCATCATTGACGGCAAAATGATCTTCTCGATTGGGGGGGCTCCTAAAATTCTTCGGGGAGTTCTTCCCCCAGGAAGATTTCATCTCAAAGCCTTCCTTCAGGTAGCAGAAGACGGAGTCGAGGGTCCGGTCCCCTAACATACATCCAAGGTGAAGAATGCGAGACGGGCGCACTCACGTGCAATTGCTGTTGCACATGCTGTGACTGCCGTTCTTGCTGTTGTTGCTGCTGCTGCTGCTGTTGTTGTTGTTCACTGTACACGTTCGAGACGCCGAATTTGACCGATATGCTCACTGGATGAAGGACGGGTAGCTTTGAGTCGTCCACCGATGTTGACTGAATGAAAGGCATGATGAGCGAAGTGTCCATGGTCAGAGGAATGTAGTACGAGCCTTCGGGGTGCAGCGCGAATATGGGCACGCTGGACGGCAGCACGCTCTGCCGTGCCTGCAGTGGCGGGCTAACTTGCGAGTGTAGTAGGACGGGGTTCACGGCATCGGCACTACCGCTGCTGTAACCGGAGGAACTGCCGCTCGACCGGGGAAGGCTCGGCAAACCGTTGCTGGCAGGCGGGCTCCCCGCGCTGCTGCTGGAATCCATTTGATTCGGTTCCCATTTCACCTGAGCTTGACGGTTGTGCGCGTTCATGGATAGATCTTTAGCGCAGGAAGCTGCTTCGGGGTCGCTTTCGCCGATGGGAGGCGCCGAAACCGTGTTACGGGAGAACGAGGCAGGACTGTGCGGACTCGCCACCGGGCCTTGCACCTGCGAATGGGAAAGACAATGATCAGACGTCGAATCTCGGTGGCATTCGGATCGGCCAGGGGACTGTCGACTTTTTTCTTCTAGGCAAATCAACGAACCTGAGAATGTGAGTAACGACGTTCTTCGTGCCCAGTCAAACCCTTCGAGTCATCGCCGTCGACGCTCTCCGTCGGTGACGAAGTGAACAAACGAAGGTTCGACTGGAATCTTTCTTTGATGTTCTTTTTGAAGTGATAAACCTGTTCGGAGACGTCGGGGTTACAAGGTCTGTTCATCCATGGATGCGGCATCGGATCCAGTGGAATTCCCGCCATGGGAGATTCCCATACCTCTTCATTGGGATTAGGAGTCAAGTTCGGAGTTTTCGACGGAGACACGTCGCCGCAGGATAAAGCGTTCGCTGTTGACATGTTGGTGTCAGTGTTGCTCCTTTTTCGCATATTAGGCTCGAAACAAGATGCTGTCTGCAGCATCTCGCGAAGTTGACTCGCAGACTCCTCGACGACTCCCAGAGGACTGCCGGTTGCATCAGAGAGAGCAGTCTTCCGTTCGACTGAGGCAGACCGGCTCTCTTGTTTCGGGACCTGAGAGCAAAAACGCGTGCAATGAGCGGTCGGGAGATCGATTCTCTTGCGGCTTCCGATTTCGAATTTCATCTCCGTCCTAGATGCAATATGAAATCATTTCGAGATGGCTCTCCGTCTCAGTCGAAATCGAACGACGAAGCGAGTGCACGTAGGGGTCTCATTCAGCTGCGGAATCCGCTTCAGCTAAGTCACGCGATTCCGCAAAGGGAAGAGCTCCTGGCCTAACGGCGGATCAATTCTTCTAGATTTCGGGATAGCCCCCCCACGCGCCCCTGCGTTCGAGCGCTGACACACTCATACGGTCGTTTTCTATTACTTTTACGTGAACTCGCTAAGGTATCCTTGCCGCGACCGATATTCTTTTTGAATGTGAATTTCGGCAGCAGCGGCGTTTATTCTGGGCATCGTTACGTTGGCGTGGAAAGTTCGCGGTGTCCATGCTTACCATGAGATGATGGAGTTGAGATTTCTCATGGGGTCCTTGATGGAGAAGGCCGCCGCGGGGCGCGAAAGTTCCTCCTGCGCGTCTCGTGAAAGCCGATTCGGAAGGTTCGCTCTCTAGAGACCTCACATCATCGCTTGAGAGCCGCGTCGTCGCAGCAGGGGACCCCATCACGTTCACCACACCGCTCGACGGTGGATGAATCTGCTGGGGAAAGGACGAATTTTTCAAATTGTCGCCTGTATGCGTCCCGCGCAGGACCCGCTTTCGCGACTCGTTCTGGTTGATGCTAGAGAGTAGTTGGTACTCGCGAATCGACGAGAGAGATTCTTGATTACCCACCTGTATCGGGATCGCTGGGACCTGTTGTGGGGTTTGCTGTATGATCTGTGTCGCAGGTGTCGTCGCGCCACTGCTGCTGCTGCTGCTGTTGCCATTGCTAGCGGTCGATGAGCTCGCTACCGGGGAAGTTCTCGTCGACTGCCCGGGCCCGCTACCGACCGCGCCAGGAACTTGATAGCAGATGTTATGACCCTGCAGCTTATCGAGATGCTTCTTCAGGTGGGTCATGAGGCGAATGCAGAACTCGTCGTTCGCGTACCTGCCCTCGATGTCGACCAAGAATCTGACGCACTCGGACATGCACTCCTGGAAGCCGAGACGGTACTGATGTCGATGGTCCGTGTCGATTCGCTGCGCAACCTCACACGTTGCTGTGAATGGAAGCAGAGATCAGTTTTGTGGAGATCATTCCCGTCGGAAGGCTCTGATCACTCATGGTGAGCAGTGTCGAAACGACTCGCGAAACCCCCTTGACTCACCCGGGTCGTTACAGGCGTGTGACTGGAGATGCTTCAGATGCTTGATAGCCATTTCGATGATCTCGGTCTTTTCGACGCGACCTCTCCCCTGTGAAGGAACAAAGATTCCATGATCCCAACATCCATTGAGGAGGAGGAAAAAATCGAAAGTTCTCAGCCAGGGGCTATCTTCCCTCCGAGTTCATCCCATCGTTCAGTTTCCCCATCTCGGGTTTCCCTGATCACGTGACGGTCGATCTCGTCGGGCCGCGGGAAAGATCTGCTCGTCCTCCTCGATCTATTTGAGCCCTCTTACCGGCAGACGGACCGCCTCGAGCGATCGTAGGGAGAAGAGGCGCAACAATCCTCAAGCAAAGGTCGCGCATTCCGTCCGGGCATGGGAGTCTATGATATTTCCCGGCTTGACCGAGCATTCGCGGATTATTGCTTCATGGACAGATTACTGAGCTAATTCCAGAAGATACTCATTCGCCGCGAACTTCAAGACAGGTGAAATTTCCCCGGTCGCCCATCGGTGGCGCTGGCACTGCTCTGCACGTCATTCTTTATCAAGGCCGCGCGCTGCTGGTGTGTTCGTCCGTCCGTCCGTCCGTCCGTCGTTCTATACGTCAGTCCGTCTTTCCATGAGGCCATTTTTGTCTCATACATAGGTAGTCAAAGACCTCCCATATACGCTGTCGCCGGGTGAATGAATTCGCCCCTTCGTATCACACGTCTGCCGCAGCGCTCGTAGGCCCTGCCTCGGACCGTCGAATCGCGGGACCGGATTTCGTTGTTCGCATGAATTCGGCCTCGTGATCTAGGAGCCTGTTCTCGAGCTATCGATCCCATTCTCACTGAAGACCCTGGGTTTCCATTCCGCGTTGAATCTTGGAAATTCATTTGATCGTGATCGATGTTCGTTACACAGGAGCGAGTGGAGATGCTCACGAGACTCCACTAAAAATTCGACTGGGATTTTCGCTTTCGAACCTTTACGAATTTCAGTCGAATGGCGACGCAACGTGCTGTGAGTTGACGTCGGTCGTCGACGGCTCCTCACTCTAATCTGACTGACTGATGCGACGGCTACTGCTGTTACTACGCGCCCGTAGGTTTCGGCTAAAAATAGCGGAAGATGCTCGGCGTCTATACTGCTACCGCTAGTGGTCTAGAGAATGGCGAGATTTCGGAGTTGAAAGCCATATGTTCTCAATCTGATTGCGGAGGAGATCGTCAAATGAATCAAAGCTCGAGAGAATTGAGACAATTCTCTGAATCATGAGTTTTCTTTCCCGGAAACCACTTCACTGACCAACCCATCTCTCGAGGCGAAGTGAAGTCGTCCGTGATCGCCCTCGGTCCAGAAGAGCATCTGACCGCGAGTGCTATATATTCATGCCGGTGAGAATTCAGCAGAGAAAATAACTGACTGAAATGCAAGCGGACCTACTTCCGTAGTGCTCATGGCGGCCGCTGCGACCCTGTTGCTAAGCACTTCCGTCGGCAGGCTGCGTGTGCACTGTTTCAAAGTGCATCGCCGTAACGTCATTCAATACGGCCGGGCATGGAGATTCTTGGAGAAGAATGCAAACTGTACTCATGAGCGCTACGGGATATATTCGCCCATGAACTCTCGAGAGGGCGAGTTCCGAAAGTTTATCACTAACGGATATCGCGAGTCGATCACGGAGTCCGTGTGAAGCGGAACTCCCCTTCGCGCGAAAAATGAGCTCATCCTCGTGAGTTCGAATTCAGGGAAGCGAATGGCGCAGAAAAACTTTTGGACCATAATGCGCGGAAGTCCTCCATCAATGCTCGCGCCTCCACCGCTGACTGAATCGAGTCATTGTGGGCGGTTTGTCTTCCGTCTGCGGTGGAGTTCTGATTTTTCACGTCCTCCTGACGGCTTTCGAGTACTTCTTGCGTTTGATGGTTCGAAGTAAGCCACTCGAGAAGCGCTCGAGAAGGAGGATGTATGTGAGATAATGGAGGTGAGTAGTCGGTCTCATTCGTTCGTCTTATTCTGAACGGGCGGATCACGTGTTGAAAGAACACGAGGGCCACCGCCGGGAACAGCTCCGAGGGCGGCTCAGATCGGATGAATATTTTCTCCTTGGAATCGATCCGTAAAAGCGTCACGCATGCGGCCGAGTATTCGAGTCGAACAGAACAGTCCGGAGCGCAATATCCGATCGACTTGCAGTCCGTTCGCAGAACCGAAACCTATTTAAATACCTAGGACACTGTCGATCATATGAGCATCTCTGTTCGGGACGGATCAAGATACTCTTAATTAAGATCAGAGGGATCTCATTTAGACAGCTAAGGCTCATATCTACACCTAATAGGATGCTTCCGTTGGCAGAGCTCGCGTCAAGTCATCGAGCGACCACGTGAGGACACGGCGATAATAATGAGCAGAACCCTCTATGGGTGCCTTCGAGCTGTCCGCTCCTGGTCAGATAGAGATCCGGTGATTGTTTCCCTCTGTCAGACTGCTTGACACAGCTCGACGCAGCGGAACGTCGCGCTCAGTGACCACCGCCGTGAACAAGTCTCGTATTAACAAAGGGTGAGGGATTCTGACGTCATTCGAGTTCAGCTGCAGCTAGCGGGAGCTACACACCAAGATGGCCGATGGAACTCAGTGCCAGCGGGGTTCCAGCTCCCGCTCGCTCGCCTGCCCTCCCTCTGGCCTCATCCGATCCGTAGCTATATTTGGCATCGAGCGCACTTCAGACTCCGTGAAAAAGAAGCCCTGCAGGAAAATATGAACAAGCTTTGCTCGTCGTATCGAACGAATCACGCTCCAACAGTCTCCGCCAGGGAGGCGTCCCTGAACGGATTCCGAGATGACACTTGATTCGTTTTGCGTCTTGATCGGAATGCCGCGCGAGTGCATTCCTATCCACCGGTAGATCTATGACTCAATCAATTCACGACCAGTGGACTTGATCCTCGCGATTTGCAGCGAGCGGACGGGTGTGGAACGAACGTGTCCGGCAGAGTCGATTATGATGTCTGACGATGAGCTTGCAACTTGACAACGACATCACGCGTATGCAACTCTTTGAGAACGGACCTAATCTAGGGCTCCAGGGGGCGGGGAGATCGGAGATTTATTCGAGGGTATACCCGGATATGGTTTTACAGTGCCCGAGGTGGTCAGCAACAGGTGATTACTCATGTGACGACGATTGACAACTGGACCTGCGATCAGAGACCGGATCGAGACTCGAGACTCGGGTTGATAGGTTGCTTAATTAGTCCATTCGTTCCCGTGGTAGCGGGTCAATCAGCACTGAACGATGGAGCGCCGCTCGGGTGGAGAGTGCGAAGAAAACGGAAACGGCATACTCACGACTTTCTTCAAATAAATAGCTGGGATAAGTCTGGAGAGGTCTGCCAGGCAGTTGTTCATGCGATCCCGTCTCCGCTTCTCTATGATTCTGTGCGACATTGGATCCTGCAAGAAGATGGAATATTAATCAACATACGGAGCATGAAAGGACATCGAATCTATTCGTGAGATCTCCATTCGGTGGTAATGAGTCGAGAGCCTTTTCCCGTCTTGTTTTTACCTCGAACCTCGGTTGCCATGGCTCTCATGCTCTCGTCGTTTCCAAGGCTCGGCTATCTTTGAATAATAATTCCCGTTTGGAATCAACCTCTGATTGAGGCGCACCACAAGTTCGGTACAAAGGTAACTCCGCGTACCTCACCAGATTCTTTCGCTAGACGTGCGTCAGGCTACTCATGATCGGCCGCCCGTGAAACGTCCCTCTTCTCCCAAGCCGTACCAGCAAACCTAGACCTTGATCGGTATGGGTACCTATACCGTCACAAAGATAACGAATACTTGGCATTTTTCCCTTATTCGATGAACTTGCTGTGAGAGCCATGCACTCAACCCCCAAATCTGAGCGTACATCCAAGACCGTCCGACTTGAATACGCTCTGTTAGCCCAGCCAGAACTAGATCCGCCGCGCTTTCTGCGGACCAAATGAATGTAATACACGTGAGAGAGTGGCTCTTTCTGAAACGCAGTGAAAGGTTCCTCGGAGAAGTCTTGATTCGAATTACCGCTCTACGACGACGCTCCCTGGGGGAACTCTCCCCTCAAGTCTCGGATTCCTGCCTGATGATGGCAACGGCTCTGAGCTCGAATTCCATCGAGCCTGGGTTGTTGCACATCGTGAGATGCGTGCCGCATGTTCTTGTGGGGATCCTGAGATTCGGCGAAAGTGGTAGGTAGTAGGTATCGAGGAGGAACGTCTCTGACGCTACCCATCCGTTTGATATAAGACCAGAGACCGACAGACCGATTTCCGAGTAGGAGAATTCCACCGTTGAGCTCTGAGAGCATACGTTGCAGCTCCCCGGAGTCGGGGATTCGAAACCGAGTTCATTGGGTCACGATGCTGCGAGCTTCCCCGTGAATAAATCTCTCGCCTCCGGCAGAGATTCTCAAAGACGGCGGGTTGGTCAGGTGTCGGTGAAGAGCGAAGCAAGACGGGCGAAAGTTCGGCAACCCGTTCGTGAATCGACATCCCGGTTCCTGTCCATTCGGCTTCTCTTTCCCCGCTCGGATGACATCAAGTCTGGCGATCGGCTTCTTAGCAGGCCTGTCTGCCCGCTCGCCGGATCGCCTGCCGCCCGGCTGGCAAGCTGTTGGTCCAACAGCTAAAATCTGCCGCCGCTGCTACCGTATTCGTCAACATGCTTGTTTTCTGTTCAACCCTTTGGCTACGAGGCCATCCCAGCGCAGAAGGCCTTTCGCCAAACCTGGCCTCGAAAGCTAAATACAACAGAAGTCTTGTTTGTCCGACTATCTATCTATCCTGTGGCAGAATGGCGAGACCTCGTTCGCTAGCCAGTCTTGAAACCGTCGAAAATAACAACAACAACAACATCGGCAGCAGCAGCAACGGGAACGAAAAAGCAAGCCCACCGAGGACGTCATCACTGAAGTTCACTCGGGAGCCACCTCGGCGTGAGAACGACACGTTCCGATGTCGATTAGGTGCGAATGGACTCCGGTTCCGGCGCATTCCCATCGGTGTCGCCGAGATCGTCTCCTTACGAATACATATGGGCTTCGATCGATGGTGCAAATAATTCCTCAGGCTCGTTTGTCGTAAAAGTTCTCGAATGTTTGCGTGTCGAATGGTCTGGACAAATCCCAAGGCGGACGTTCTTACACGTGACGACTCCGCTATCATGTGGTAGAGGCTCGAGAATATTTCCCGATCCGATGATCGTCGAACGATGCTCGACCGTTTCAGCGTGCTCACAGGCTTGCCGAAAGGAGGGAACTTTGGAAAAGATAATATATTTATAGCCGCTCTCGACGGAAGGCAGCTTCAGCAGGAAAAAACATTCTGTTGTTTTGATATCAGCAGTATCGGAGAACGTCTCTCATCGAGAGCGGCCACGTGCAGGAAGATAGCGTTAGATGACCTGGCTACGTGACGCTAGCTTGTTCTCAGTTTGACCACGGTGATACGATTCCTATTTACTATCGCAAACTAGGAGAACAGCTGACTCGGCAGAGCTCGACGACGACATTTACCGTGTAAACCGAGCTCGATATACGCCAGCGTGGAAGAGTGGCATCGACGCTTCCAGAAAACACTTTAAGAATAATTAATGGGAGGGAGAATGTGTTCAGCCCCTCCTCGGGCAGGTCCTGAGGAATCCTCCCCGGGAAATCGACCACCTCCTTTTTACTTTGGTGGAGCGTTCGGGCATTTAGGAAGGAAGACCCATTCACGTGGAAGTACCATCCTGGGAGCCGCGCACGCATTCGGCGCAAAAAATCTCCGCGGCGAGCAAAACCACAAGCATGAGTCCGGATTTATCCACTGAAATCCATTCCGGGCCACCTCCGGAGATCTCGCACTGAAACTTGAGACATCATCGAGATCCTGAGTGGAGAACGCAAGCGTTCTGAAGCTCGACACTGAATGGGAGACGTGTTTTTGTGACTGAAGATCGGTATCCGCCGTTTCCAGAGTCCACTTGAGGCTTTGCGGAGGAATCTCCTGCTGTTGCGTGAGCTCGGTCGACGTGCCGTGTCGGTGCCCATTCAAGGGTCCAATTACACACGAGCCGATGAGCGAAACTACTCTGTGAGGAATGCCTGTCTGATTTTTTTTGTGGCGTACCCTGAAAGCCCTGGATTCCTCAGAGGAGAATTTCTTCTAATTCTCATCGGTTGTACCATACCCGAGGAGAGCATATGCCCTAGGGAAAGAATTCCCGACATTGAAATGACCCCCGATCCCAGCAATCCGAGGAGTCGTTATCCACCCGAATTTTGAGGCTTCGCTGGCCCGCGCTCTCCGACGACGCCTATTGGTCTCTGTTTGACTCCTTGCTTGTTTGGAATGAGGAATTTTCGGAGCCGGGCTCGTATTCGGAGGCTGGCGACGAAAGAGGCCACCAATCTACGAATGAGCTCCGAAGGGATGCACGGATGCGACTAGAAGTTGAGGAACAGAAAAATATCTGATCCCGCTGACTGAGATGCTCCCGTGAATAGAGCGAATAGTCTCCTGCAGTCGGCAGACGCGCAGTCAAGCTGGCGAACGAACGGACGACCGGGCAAAGTATTCAGCCAGTTCGCCAGCTAGTTTTGTTGTTGCTGCCGCTGCTGTGCCGGCGCCGCCGTAGCTCGTGAATCGCTTCACATCCAAGGCCGCTCAACCCTTCCACGTGACTTCAAGACCATTCGATGCTGCTGCTGCTGCCACCGCCGCCGTCGTCGACGTTGTGATCGTCTGAGCCGCGTCCGCACTTGCGGCTGGTCCAACTGCAAACGAGCTTATTCCAGTCGCCAGGGGATCGTCAGTCTCGTTTTCGCTGTTTAGCCGTATCGGCGCAGAGTCAACTTTCGTCGATCACAAGTCCCGAGATTCGTGAAAGGTTCATCGTTATCGGTTCAATGAGATGGTCGTCAGCTGACTGGGACCGCGGAGCCACGAATTTATCAAGCTACACATGTTCCAGCCGGTTCGATATTCCTCATTCGAGAAATCGCGAGAACCACTATCAGGGGACGTGAATTCCAAATCGGATGTCCAGTCGAGTCTCGACTGATCGAGATCAATATCCTCGTCAGGGGCTCATCTCCGCAGAAAATCCGACAAAATCGTTGAAGCGAGTATCTGAAAGCGTTCCGCTCGTGAACTAGAAGCATTGATCGAATATTAAGGCTGTCGAGCACGTGCAGCCTATGCGCGTTGAGAACAACCCTTTTACGAAAGTACACGATATGTTTGCGCGACGTGACACCTGGTGACGGACACACGGCTTCCCAAGGCCGGCTCGAACAGAGCTTTCCCAGATATAGTCGCCGCCACGCACAACTCAGCTCCGATTGATTCCGGAGCGATGCCGTCTTGGGTGTTTTTCTCGGTACGATTTCTTAACTACTGGAAATCAGGAATTAAATTTAATTTTCCGTAGCGCGTAAAGCGCCGAACGCTGCCCGTGCAGGGTCCGAACTTGAGCATCGTGGCATCTGATTCGAAAGGGACCGAGTGACGTCAGGTCCAGAAGAAGAAAGTCTTGGCTGCCGAACGACGACGACGCGCCGTCGTCAGTACTAAACCCTTTCGTCCGTCGGCAGGAAAGAATTGAGGTCCAACAGATGAATTTCGGGCTGGCACAACCGCCAGGAATACGTGAGCGAGCCGGGCAGCTAGCGAACATTCATCCCGAATACGTATCCAAGGCCGTGCTCCCCCTCTGCCGAGAAGAATAGCGTCTACGGATCGTTCGACATTTCTCGGTCTCGTCCGGTCAGGATTAAGACGAATGCTCATCGATCGCGACCGGAACAGCTGATGATTATTCACAGCGAACAATTGGGTCTCGACAGGTTCTCCGGTGCTTCTTCGAGAGTCGCGAGGGCGTGCCGAAAAACCGGAGCACTCTTCGCGCTGAGCATCGGAGGTTGGTAAGGGACCGAGGCGACATGAGAGACTCTGAACGAATCGTTCGCATCTGCTCCTCAAGCAGAGCACCAGGCCCAGAACAAGGACCTCGGCCGACGCCGTCAGCGAAGTAGCCGATAAGAATCTTCGTGTTTGGACGACAACCCCTTCATGGGTAATTTGTTTTCAGTCTGACCGCCGCAGCAGCCCGCTGTCTGCTTCGTTCAACGGACGTCTCGCGTCGCTCGGCTAGACGCCGTCGAGACGTTGTTGCTCGTAAGGAGCAATGCCACCAGACAGTGTTGATCGACACCGTGCCGGTTCTCGAGCGGTTCTGTGATCGTGGCTGCAAGTCCGCTTCATTTCCCCGACGAGCTGGGCATTTCGAAATTCTGCGCTTGGCTGGGAACACAGAAGCATCCGTCAGGCGAATGCGCAGCTTGTGAGTACGAAGTCTCCGGAGTTCCGTCTACTGGTGTCGAGCGAACGGCGAAGCGACGGTGCTCACTGCAGAGCATTGAGCCA